TTAGGTGCGCTCCTCAGAGGTGTAAACCGTATGGTAGTTGGTGACTTTAATGCGCACCACGATCTTTGGTATTCAAGCCTGTCAAATTATCGTAGGGGAACACACTTGGCTGAGCAGATAGACGATTTGACATTCTGCACAATGAACGACGACGCTCTCACCAGGATTATGGGCAGCTGCTGCAGCTCGCCAGAAATAACAATCGTCAGCGCTGGTCTGATAAACAGCGTATCATGGCGACCTATGCTGACCTTAGCATCAGGATCCCGGAAATCCCCGCATTAGAGATCACAATACGGAGATTTGGCAGCTTATGAATGTATGTATATAAGTAATCGGAAGAAGTGAGAAAGAGCATCTGAGGACATGAAACTTCACCTCTGGTGTGAGCAAGCTTTGGTCAACCGTGAGGCCATTGTCCAACCCGACTAAGCGTGACGACAGGGTCGAAATTTCTTTCGGGGGCCATGCTTCGTCGGATCCTGAGCGATGTGCGAACTACTTTAGCCAGCACTTCATACTGCATCCTCCGGCGGACAAAGCCAAGCGTCCACTTTGTTGCAAGTTCACATGGGAAATCTGCTTACGACGTGATTGGAGGAAATTTTAAGAGACTAGCAGCTTGAGCAAGTTTTCAACTCCAGAGGTTACAACAAATTCGTACACCCTTGAAGCTATCACCGAATGAAACCGAAACACCAACATCAACAACACTCATTGCAAAAGAATATTAGACCTCCAATGATAGCTTCAAGGTTAGTCATTTTATTAAAACAAGAAAAAGGAAAGGTGTGTAACAAAAAATAAACCTAATGAGTAATAAAATTATAGTTAAAAAAAAAAACCAACAACAAGCTCAATAAAAATTGTTGGATATGATTGTTATAAGGCCATAAAATAACAAAAGAAAAATGTTTACTTAATTTTTTTTTTGTTTTTATACGTTGCACATTAATGTAAAAAAATATACAATTAAAGCCCGTAATAAAACGGAAGAAATACATTTTTTTTTCATTAAGTTCCGTTAAAAGGTTTCCAAGATACAGCACTTTAAAGAAAGGTATGTATGACGTTTTCTTAAAATTCGAGTCCCCTGTAAATAGGCAACCCTACGTCATATCGGCAAAATATGCTGCACGTATATTCATGTCACCTAGACCTTCAATCTCTTCAACTTTCATCCAAATCCTGAGACGTCGCGCACAGAGTTGGCCGCGGTGACATGAAATGCCTCATATATGAGCGTTTTTACACTCTAGAAAATAATTTATGCAACCTCAAATACGCGGTTTTTCATTATCTTCTTTGGAGTTAACAAATTTGCGTTTCACTGAATATAAATGGTAGAAATGAAACGAACATGTTGTTCGATCTTTTTATACGCGGTTTTTTAGTTTTAAATCTGCTTTGAGCAATCCTATTGTCTAGCCTTAAAAATCCGCTTTGGAACTTTGTCCTCTAGGCCTTTGTTTTTAACTATCAGTATGAGTGTTTTAGACACCAGTTGCGTGTCAGGTGCTTCACAAATTGCAGATTTTACAGGATTTACAGGAAAAGCTGTTTTCGCTATTAATAAATCATATGGAAGGTGGCGACCGGGAACGACTTGCTGTGCAAATCGTGAAGCATCTGGAATGCAACTACGGAATTAACACATCAACTGGAAACTATCAGGATTTTTACAACGGTCGGATCTTAATTGCCGGAAAAGCTTGATTTAACATCCGGTAATTTGCAAGAAACGTTTTAAATTCTATTTCATTCATCTTTTCAAAAACGATACGAAAAATGTAATTACATTTGTATTAATGCAGCGCTCGAAACATAAAATCATAACTTTTATCCATATTTTAGTCATACATATTTCTTGATCTTTGTACAGTTTTTACAATACTCGTAACGAAGCAAACGTTTCGACAAGTATTTCCTCTGTAATTTTAGCAGTTATTTTCACTTACCAGGACTGTTTCGAATGTGTGTAATCGATCATAATTTCAATATACATCGAAACACTAGTTATTTGTTTTATTTTTAATTTATTTCCACACTTTTAATTCACTTTTAACTTCTTGCTTAAAACCATTTCATTTTACTTCCACTTTGCTTTTAACTTTTAACAATTCTGTTGTCAAATTTTCAACGGTACTATCTAAAGAAAGGCATGTTACATTAGGTTTGTTCCACACGAGCGCATACCTTACACTTTTGGATTGTATATGTCTTCTTCTTCGTGCCCGAACAGTCCTGGGCATAAACGTGCAAGAAGTCAATTTGAAATAATAGCTGTTGTTTGTGACATCCGATAGCAAATTTTGTAAAATACAAAAATGGAAAATAGCACTAAAAGTTCAGAAATGTAGGTATTAGCTAATTTTATTAGCTATGTATACATATATGATAAATACACATAAAATCATTTGATTTGATTTGATTTACGCTCTGGGCACTTTTGGCACGAGTTGACAACCTATAATTTAGAAGTTTTGTAGAATAATAGTTTGTTTCTAGTTTTATGGCCTTATTCATAAAAAATAATCATTAGTGTATCCCTATCTTATTGCAAACCCTTATCCTCATAAATTTATTATTTTCATCATGATAAAAACATAGCAAGGTATAACCGTTCTCTCAATTTGTCGGC